ATATAAATATACTAAATAAATCAAGGTAAATAATTTGTAGAAAAAACCGAGGCCAATTAGAGAGATAGGAGCGTTCATAATTTTTGGATTACCGAATTGTGGCGACGTACCAATTGTTTGTTCCGATTGATTATTAAATAAGCCATTTGCTAATGACCCAATACGTTAATCATAAAATACGTCATATATAAATGTGGGATTGGTGTGAAACGGAACGTATGTTAAAAGTGAATGTTGTATGCATAGATTAGAATACGAGGAAGGATGACTGATGTGGAGTGAAGTGAGGAACGGTTGGAGAGGAGAAAGTTCAAGATGGACGACAAGTAAACGAGTGTGTGTGCTCCTACGATTTTTTTCTAAGATTTAATTTTAAAATTATATAAAGGTTGAATCGCTTGTGCAAAGAAAGAATTTTATTTCTGGTTCCTTGGACCTACATAAATGTATCACTGAAAACTTTGCATTTATATCATATTGTATTTGTGTGTGTGACCCGGTATAGAATGGGCCACGTCTACCTTTTCCCGTAAATGTCATGAGAGGCGACTAAAGGCACTTATTGGTCGAGGGATGGATAGCAGCGTTTCTTGTAAAGCATCACTAAACCCTAACTGCGGTTGTCAACCTGCCTGCATAGTGAGGCAATAACCTGCATATTTTAAATAAAAAAAAAGATCAATTTTTTAAATTTTTTGGAGAAAATTTGCACTGATTTTTCACTTCAAAATAATTGTCTGAATTCACTGTTTAAATTTTTGCCAACCTGTCCCTTCTATCCTATATATTTTTTTTAATGGATGATAATAGATTGGTAACCCCACCTGCACTATCGGTATACGCCGACGGGGCACCAGTGAAAGATGATAGGTGAGAATTAAGTAGGTCAGTTAGCCAATCGTGACGAATTCAACAAGAATTGTTCACGATAGTTTCCAGGGGGAATCACGTGGAGGTCGACCTAATAAGGTATATTGCTAGCAATGGGATGGTCAAACTCCATTGCTAACAATCCCTTTCCACTCTCTATCCTGTATATTACTCACCCTTAGTTATGAATGCTTATAGAACGCTCAGTTAGAACCGCTCTACTTCAACCGTCTCCGTGGACAAACCACGAAGTACGGCGCGGTTTATTTTCGTTTTCATGAGCGAAATATGTCCAAATGTTACAGTGGATGTGTATAATATGTTACCGCTTGTTTATTTCCTGTTTTGTAGTACGCGAATTGTGATTTAAACTTTATTTGTTCTTCTTTTAGAATTTAGTATAAACGTGAGATAAACACGTCTTGATTGCGTTGGGAATTCATAAGTGTATTTTTTTTTATTATGCAATTTTTAGAATGTCAAACAAGCTGACGGCCCACTTTGTGGAAAGTGGTAACCGTCGCCTATATACATGATCATAACAGAGTATATATACTGCGTCGCCCATGACAGTGTTTTGAAAAACGTACGGATAACGTATATGCTTTGCGTTGTTCGGTTCGTTACTATCTACCAGTATTATTCCGTGAGGTTGCTTGCGTAAAAAAAAGTAGGTAGTAATAATTTAATAGTTTATATTTGGTACAAATTGGTTTTATTGAAATTTTGTGGACCCCTGTGTGGATATATAATTTTCTATAATAAATTATCAAATTGCCAAATAAAAACGGCTCGAATCATTACAAAATTATTATGAGATCAACACAGTAAAACCTATAAATTTATAAAAGTAACATCAAAATCGGTTAACATTTTCTAACAAAATTAAAATAAGACCAACATTACTGAGTGCAAAAAGAGTTGTTCATACAATTGAGAGATTACTTCTTTAGAAAAAAAAGCTGTCCCATCTTAACCTATGTTCGAGAGAAAAAATAAATAACTCATGAACTGCTTAGGGTGTAAATATGTTTGTGGAGTGCAAACCCTAGTCTGAATACAATAAAGGCCACAGTGGATGTCGCGAACACGGTAAGCTTTAATTTATCACCACACCACCAGTAGGGTGACTGTCCTCCACTTATAAAAATACGGGATTAATTAATTGAAATGAAATGAAATTAATTAATTTTGCTAGAATGCAGGTAATTTTAGATGATAGAGGTTTATATTTCCCGTGTACATTCTGCCTCTATGTCGGCGTGCAAATTTTTAACAATATAAGAAATTTATATATATATATATATATATATATATATATTCTACATTATATTTCCTTTCCTTTGTCATACAATATATTATTATTATTTATTACAGTAAATGGAAAATAAAAGCCTGTACAATAGTTGTCGAAGTTAATAAACTTAATAATTATTTTATTAATTTATGAATTATTATTAATTTATTTAAATTATGATAGTTAGGTAAGAATGGATGGTAAAACAAGATAAGTCCTCTATGATCAACCCCATCTATCGAGGTATACAAATTTGCAATTATATCAGATTCTATTAATTATGTCCACAACGAAGATCAATCTACATCTATATCTACACTAATATTATAAAGAGGAAAGATTTGTATTTTTGTGTGTATGTATGTTTGTAATGAATAAATTCAAAAACTACTTTGCCGATTTCAAATATTCTTTCACCATTAGAATGCTACATTCACCCTGAGTAACATAGGAATAACATAGTAACTTACTAAAACTTTAGTAACGTAACTCAAGGTGTAAAAAAATGCTATAAAATATCTTTCGTCGCGTGCGCTGCGGAAACTATTGATGATAGAACAAAACGATGTTCTACAATATTAAAGAAAATATCAATAATTTATAAAAAACTTCGCGACACTATATGCCCAACTATTATCGTTATGTCACAATAACAACTTTTGTTTTTTTTTTTTATACAACTTAGAATGATAAACAAGCTGACGGTCCACCTGATGGAAAGTGGTAACCGTCGCCTATAGACATGAGCAGTACCATGGACATAACAGAGTATACTGTTTCGCCCATGATACCCCCCATGCGTTGCCATTCCTGAGGACTCAGGTGTTATTCCTCTGTACCCAGTAAATTCACGCCATATCCCACCCTTCAAACCGAAACACAGCCATGCAAACACAACTGCTTCACGGTTGAAACACGAAGGGGACAGAGGTACCCAAGCAATCGACTTTTGTACAAAATCTCCCTCTGGTGAGGAATCTATATATTATTATAGTTCATAATTTATCCTTATGTTTTCTGAAGTGTTGACACACTACTATATTTAAGGCGAATGTGTATACATCTCTCTAAAAGCGGAGATATGATGCAATTTAGTATACACTCCCCTATATTACATTCTAGACAAACACATATTTTTGATGTTAACACAGTTTTGAAATATTATGTTGTATATTTATTTTATTCCTCATATAAACTAAGGTAGGGTAATATGCATCGATATATATATATATATATATATATATATATATATATATATATATATATATATATCGTAGTTACAATATCTATACATATATGTGCCTAATAACAGACTTTTTTACAATACAGGGGGCAAACGAGCATGCGGCTCACCTGATGGTAAGTGACTACCGCCACCCATGATCTTCGATTGGTTTGGGCGATATCGCAATGGGTGGTCATTAATGTTAAGAAGAACTTTATATATATATATATATATATATATATATATATATATATATATATATATATATATATATATATATATATCGATGCATATTACCCTACCTTAGTTTATATGAGGAATAAAATAAATATACAACATAATATTTATTAATATTTATCTATATTAAATCAATAAAATAAAAATCAATACACACACTACCATTTATTAGACCCATGTACGTGTTAGATATTTATTGTAAATTATATTAATTTTCTTAAATATCTTGTGTCAAAATGTGTACCTACATTTATTAATAAAAATCAGGCTAACTACTTTAAATATAATAAAACGTTGAAATTGTTACTATACCGAATTTGGTAACAAATCATTCTTGTAATGTATATAGAACACTAATTTATATTTTAATTGATTTTATAATTATTTATTATAATGATACTTAAATAAAAAGTAATGAAATTGTAAGAACACGTGGTTTCACTGACTTGTTTACTCGAATTCGGCCGTGTGGATATAAAAGATTGTCATTTGGGTGGGGGGACACTTCTTGTCCATCCGTTGAACAGAGCGGAGCTCCCTGACGTATCAAGAGTGAACAAGTATAGTGAACCACGTGGTCATTATATAAAATATATCACAATTATTGTTGATGGAAGTCCTAAAGAAACTATAGTTAAATAAGTATCAGTGGATTAACAGAAGTTGGGTATTTATGTTATATTATTTGTTATATATCAAATACAAAGTAAAATAAGTAAATACATGATTTAATAGTATGATATCCAAATTAAATGAACTGTGAGAACTTGTGCTTCAATTCTATTTATTACTAAGAGGCTTACAACCTTTATATTGCTATATTATATATCATATACTATGTAAAGTTAGAATTACATAGTTAAATTATCTGTATAAATAGATTATCCTACATAACATATATATAAATAATATTCTTTTAAATTCTTATTTGATCTTTACATAGGTATACTCTATTGTTTATTGTTAAAGTCTTTGGTCAACTTGAGAATAGATTAATATTGTTTCTCTTTATTATTATTTGTCTAGTCTTACTGAATGTCAAACGTAACCGTAATAAACTCATTTATTACAATATATATTAAGGTCGAATTTCGACCACTGGCCGATTACTAGTAATAGTAGATAGGTAATAAACTAACGGAGACAAGTAAATTGTTCTCAAACAACTATTCGTGTAAAAGGTAAACATGATAAATCAAATAGTTTGATAGAAGAAAAAAAAATTACATAGCAGATAATGAAACTACTACAAATCACAATTGTACGGCTAAACTTTTGCTATAAATTGATACAAAACTTTTTGTCCGCTCCCACGGATTATAACTTTAGCGTCGATAAAAAAAAAAGTGTCAAGCAAATCCAGTTGGCCGCTAAAATGACAAGAGCATAATCCTTGTTTTTTTTTTTCATTTCAACAATAAATGATAAATATTAACAGATATGGCTGTACCCCGGGACAATTGTGGAAATGTTCAGAGTTTTGCGAACTGGTAAGATTTTGGGGAAATACACTCGGGTTTAGTTTTTTTTATGACTCATAATAGAATGGTAACAACGCCTGCGCTATTAGTACACGCTGGCGGGACACCAGTGAGGGATGATAAGTGAGGATGAAAGCAGCAGCACCAGTGAAACCATTATGACGAATTCATTGTGAAATAAATCGCGAAGGGGGGGAAGAGATTGTTAGTAATGCGAACTACAAGTCTCATTGCTAGCAATATACTCTGTCAGGTAGATCACCACGTAGTCGCTACCTGGAAACCATCGTGCAGAATTCCAGATGTATTTATTCATTACGATGCGCTGACAGACCTGCTTTCCATTACCTTCAATTAGTTCATTACCTTAAGGTTGTCTTGAAAAGATTGCTCTCAGCAATAAGACCGCCTTACTGTGTACTTATACAATTGTATCGTTGTGTTTGTAAATTGCCTTGCTTATTTCCTATATTGTATAATGCAAAGTACCCGTAACCGGCGAGCGTGTATGAAAAGATTGATGAATGTGGAAGAAGCGAAAGAGGTTTGTTTGAATCGAAGCATTTGGCGTTCCATTGTTTCTGCCTACCCTAATGGGAGACAGGCGTGACAGATATGTATGTATGTATAATGCAAATAAAGTATACTCATTCATTCATTCATTTCCTTACTTGAAAATAAAATAGTAGGGTCCTAAAACTGTGTACACAAATTACAAGTACATAATTGTGCAAATAGTTATATCTCAAACTTTACGACTGTTCTGGTGTAAAGCGGCAGCCGAAAGCACTGTTATTATTTTTATGGTCCAGATAAGAACTAATATTTTATGAAGAGGCTATTTCGTAAAATATACATTCAAATTACTTAGTAAAATATATATATTTTTTTTATACAACTTGGGACACAGAATGGGACAGAAGTACCCAAGCAATCGACTTTTGTAATATGCATAGTATGGTAATGTTGTATTATTATTATCAGTGAAGATCTTAGCGAAGTGGTTTGAGCAAGTGATGTCCTGGGTTTATTTCTTGATCATAGGTCGTAGATATCAAATAGTCCCTCTATTGGTTTCTACAAGAAAAGTTTAAAATCATATCTTTCCACTATCACTGTAGTTGCTAAGTTTGGCAGGCAGGGTTTTTTTTTAATTTGGATGAAAATGGAGTGGTAACCTCGCCTGCGCTAATGGGATACGCTGGCGGGGCACCAGTGAAGGGTGATCGATGAGGATGAAAACAGGCTAGTTAGCCTATCATGATGAATTCATCAGGAATTAATCATGATAGTTTCCAGGGGGAACCGCGAGGAGGTCGACCTGGTTGGGTATATTGCTAGCAATGGGATTCTTAGTCTCCATTACTAACAATCCCTTTTCCTCCCCTGGCAGGCGGGTTGTCAAGCGCAGTTTGGTTTTTGGTGATGTATAAAGAATAACGCTGCTGTATATCCCTTCACCATAAACTCCCTTAGTCGCCTCTTACAATATCCACTGGAAAAGAAGGGGTGGCCTAAGCCATGCCGATACTTACACGGCCAGTATCAAGTTTACATAATCTAAACCTGCTAAGGTTATGAAAAAGTTTAATTTTTAAAACATTTCACCTTCTTGTCAAGCAGATAAACAAGTACGTGGGCAATTGCTAGTCTCTTTATTCCATGCTATCCAGATAATTGAAGACTTCGCCGACAGCAAGATGTTTACCGACCATTATCAATGGCAAAGGAGCTTGTTTGGCCACAGTGTGAGTTGAATATTATAAAGACTTTAAGAATGGCAATGTATGAGGGATGCTATGATACTATGAGTATCACAGAACCTAATGTACGTTACATTATGTTCCAAGGAGCTCAAAATGCCAGTCATGTCTATAGGCAATAGTTACTACTTCCCATCATGTAGCCTGTTCAGTTTTAGTTAGCTTTATTGGCATTACTAATATTAAAAAAAAAAAAACTGTTGAGTATTGTGAGATTGAAACCTTAAAAAAAGCATATTTTTTTTTTAAAAGAGCGGTAACATACCTTTAATTTCTCTGATGTTACGAGTACTTATGGGCGGCGATAAAACAGAATGCTCGTTTACCCTCTATTTTACAAAAGATTGTCAATTATCTTTGACTGAAGTTGTTATGAAGACTCGATGCGGTTTGTGGAGGTTTTTTTTTATTTTTTTTTAGAACAAAGGGGGCAAACGTGCATGTGCCTCACCTGATAGTAAGTGACTACCACAATACCTGTGGCATTGCAGGTGTGCTGCTGGCCTTTTAAAAAGGAATATGCTCTTTTCTTGAAGGTTATGTTGTCGTATCGGTTCAGAAATACTGCTGGTGGAAGTTGATTCCAAAGAGTGGTTGTGCGTGGGAGAAAGTGCCTTGAAAAACGCATAGTGGAGGACTGCCACTCGTTCAGATGGTTGGTGGAGGTGGTAAATAACGAGAATAATTCAAGATATAAAATGTAAACTTGTATATTGAATCGACACAGAGCCTACACACTGCCTAGCACAGAGGTTGTATCGCGAATGAGTATAAGATAAAACACTCAAGTTACGTTGATTAATTTAGGTCACAAATTAGGGAACGGTGCAAAGTTCGCTTTGAAATTATGAATAATCATCGTGCAATATAACATATAGGCGCATATCAATGTGTTTTGTTATCGTCTATGGTTCATTTTCAAATTACTAAGTGACTTCTATTGCAATTATGTTTTCAAATCTTTTCTGCATGTATATAATTATGCGATGGAAAGATTATCTTAACTGATTGAATAGATACTGGTGGAAAGTGGAAGCAGTTGGGAATCCTTTTTTCCAGCAGTGGTTAAACTACAAATAATTAATGATGTCAGTAAAGTGCATACATTCAAGATGCATTGTTTGAGGGAAGGTCATCTGTGTTTTTATGAGACAATTTATAAAAATGGACGAAGCTAGATATGTGTGCACAGTACCTTGCACCTTTTCCTTCTGTTAATTCCATAAGAGATTTAGCTTATAGATAGATAGATATATTTAATGTTTTAACTATTTGATTTCCCTAATAGTTCAGTCCAATTCCTTCGTCATGTGGTGAAAATGGCGAATGCACTGCTAGCACTGTACAAGTTTTGAAATCGTGGCTTCAAGCTCACGAGGAGGCTCAGGTAAATAATTAATTTTAAAATTTATTTATCCACTAGTTGTTTCCAGTGTCTTTATCCCTAGAAATAATATAATATTAAGTATTCTGTGGTAAAGTAGGCACGGCTAATATGGACACCGGTCCGATATATAGATCCGATATCTATATATTGGATTTCTCTAGACGTTGATGGCGGAAATAAGTTCATTATCAGCCTCGTTCCGATTCACATCATTCCGATATCGCCCATATTGGTCGGATATCTATTATAGAATATGTTAAAAGTATGTTATACAATATAATTTTTTTGGATAACAGATTTGAACATATTCGTTATTGGATCACATATAGAACAGGACACCCCTTCTTTTCCCGTAGTTCTTCTTTTGTCGTAAGAAGCGACTAAGGGAAGGCAAGAGATGGACAGCAGCGTCCCTCTTAAAACATCTTCAAAGCCTAACTGCGGTTGCCTATTGGCGTATTCGCCTGCCAAACGTAGCAATTACTGGCAAAACCTACTAAGAGGGAGGCTTATGTTTAGCAGTGGAGAGTTAAAAGCTGATATGATGATGAAATGATGATTTTTAAGAGAGATTGTTTCACAGGTGATGCTGGCGAGCATACTGGTTGTGGTCGGTCTGTGGTGGATGGTGCGAGCGGTGTTATCTCTGCTCATAAACCTCGTGTGCCCATTGCTAGTCGTTGTGCTGGCTGTTGTAAGTTTAGACTAATTATTTTCAACCTTAGTTTTTTAGAAACTTATATATATATATATATATTCTTTATTGCACTAAAACATACAGTAGTAACAACAAGTTAATAACAATGTTAGCAAAGACGAACTTATCTCTAAAAGAGATTTCTTCCAGTCAACCTAACGCAGTGGCATAGGAAGTAGTGAGTGGGCAGTAGTAGTGAAAAACGGAAACTAGAATAAATATTTACAGAAATTAAATACAACATATCAAATAAAAGAGAACACAATGATTGCAGTCTTTTAATCAATAATATTCTCTTTATTCTCTATATTAAAATGAAGTTGGAAAGATAGAATGATTTTAATCTTTTTTTGGAGGGACTGCTAGACGGGCTATTTTGAATACCCACGGGAATTACGGTTTTATATGTATATATAACAGGCAATTTTACAAACTTATTGTGTTTGTTTTCCAGAGGCTCAAAAATTTGTTCTTTTTTTGTCGAGATTTTGGGGAAAAATTTCTTTCGCTAGGAACTAGCTCGCTTTAGGACCGAGAAGGACGAGGAGAGAGGAGAAAATGCTCTTCACTGTCATCCAGTATACTCGTATTTAGCACCAGCATTAGAATTTTAGAATGAATTTCTAGCTTAGATATGGTCCCTAGAAAGTAATCTCGCTAATGTAAAATTTTTCCACAATTGGAAATGTGGCCACTTTGATACATTTCTGAACATTTTTTTCAGGTTTGCATACCTCAACTACGAACACCGTTACTGGGACAAAATTATCCAATGCTAGCAAGTCTACTTCGAAGCATATTACTCAAAATGGCGGAAAATATAAAAACTCAATAGTAAACACAAGTAAAGGACAAAATATACAAGTGCAACCGTTCCCTTTTTCACCCATTAAAAAACAACCTGATCAAAAGAAACAAATATAATCTCGAATGGAAATGTGAGCAAAAGAGCAAGCCGCCACACTGGCAACATCGTCAATACGAGGCATAATGTTGCCACATTTTTGTTTCCACTCCAGTATTACGCTTACGTTAATTATAAAGTTTCCAAAATACAAAATTACTCTTCTTGAATACAAGCCAACATCAAAAACCACTACACATCCAGCGGAATGCGGGAACAAGTTCAGTTAATGTTAATTGTAACAAAAATCCACAAGGCATTAAAAAGCTAGAGGTAAAAATATTGTAATAAAATTTTAAGCATATAATTTTTTCATTTGTTCTCACCGTAGCTACACAATACATATACGCAAAAATTTTGTATTTATGCAGGAATCTCCAACTGTTATTTAAAAACAGCGATCTCAACAATCTTAACACTAGATACAAATGCAACTTGCTGTTCCGAAGTATCGTTTAGAAAAAGTTAATAGGTCTTTTATGGGAATGGGCATTAAATGTTATAATAAGATACCGAAGGATATTTTGGATCTACCTTTTAATAAGTTTAAAACTATTATTAAAAACACTTATTGAACAAAGCCTATTACACACTAAACGATTACTTGAATGACAAATGTGCATGGTGTTAGTCGATCATGCATAGGCTTTTAACGACCATCTAATTTTAGACATAGTACATTTAAATAAATACACATAATGTCAACAGATATTTAAAAGAGTAACTATTGAGTTACTTGCGGGCTCTTCTCAACAAATAACAACTCTCCGAACCCTGGAGTAGATTAAAAAAAAATGTCAGTTTAAAAGTGTTTGTAAACAAATCTGTTTGAATAAAGACGATTTTAATTTGGGTTTATATTTGTCATAAGCTAGGATTTACGTACGGTTTAAGATGTTGTTTAAAAATTTAACATTGTTTTTTCGTCATTAATAAATATAGTGGGCCATTAAAATAAATGTTGTACGGTTTTAAGATTTAAAAACTCAGATTTAAGTACGCTTTAAATATTCAGTACTTAAAATGCAATATTATAGTACCACTCGCTTTTATATGCGACTTCATCCGCTTAACTGATATATAAATATATTTGAATATTGACAGGAATAAAAGTAGCTTGTTCGTTCGTATTTTTATCGTGAAGCAGTTATGTTTGCATGGCTGTGTTTCAGTTTGAAAGGTGGGATATGGTAGTGAATTTACAGGGTACAGAGAAATAACACCTGTGTGCTCAGGAATGGCAACGCATGGGGCGTATCATGGGTGAAAAAGTATACTCTATTATGTCCATGGTACTGCTCATGTCTATAGGCGACGGTTACCACTTTCCATCAGGTGGGCCGTCAGCTTGTTTGCCTTCTAAGTGGCATAAAAATACACTATATATACTATACGTGTATACCAAATTCATAGTGATTGATTAAGCCGTTAAGGCGTTATAAGGCAATAAACAAACAAACTTACTTTCAAATTTATAATATTATTAAGGATTGTAAATGTTTGGTACGAGAACTGGTAGAAATATTTTTTTTGTATAATCCAAGTAAAGCTTTAAAGGTTCAATTATTTATTTACGAATTGAAATTAAAATAATAACAAATATGTGGACTTTTTTATGCTCCAAAGGTAGCGAACAAGGTTAAAGCTAAGAGTAGATAAGGTATAGCAGTATCTATATACTGTAGTTAGAATATGTGTATATATATATATATATATATATATATATATATATTGGCCTAAAACAGATATATTAACTGTTGGTTGTGCTGTTGGTATTGCCCCTATCATTGCATTTATTTACTATTTGTAAGTACGTTATTATGTTTTAGTTTAAATTCAAACGTGTAGAATGAAAAATTTAATTTGTAGTTACTTTGTAGGTCTGCTTCTGAGACCAGGTGCACGTTATATGCTGTCTCGTAACTAACTACTCGTGTTCTAACTTTAAAATTTAATTTTTGATGACCTAGTTTAATAGTTAAATATGATTTGGTACATATTGTCTATTTTAGATTGAAAAAGTTTAAGGTTTGCTGAAAGAGAACTCTTAAAAAGTTAAGTTCGCATGTTGTATTTTTTTTTAATATAAATTATAATAATAGAATTTTTGTGTAAAATAAAGTATAAATAAACAAATAAATAAATAATACAGTGGTCCACAAAAAACAGACTTCATTCGTGACAAAATCAATTATTTTTATTTAAAACATCCTGTCATTTTGTTGTTAAAACTAGTTTTACATCAATCGCTTCTGTAGTCTAGACTACAGAAGCGATTGATGTAAAACTAGTTTTAACAACAACTAGATTTTGATAAAATTTCTATGGGGCCAATCTGAAAGTATGGTCTTTCAGATAAAGGCATCCAAATAGGTTCATAACTGACAGAGTTATGAGGATACTGACATAACAAAATACATTCGAATTAAGAACCTCCCCATTTTTAAAGTCTGTTAAAAATGTAACTGAACATAACTCTATTGTCTATTTATAATAACATAAGTAAAAAGAAAATCCTGTACAGTTCTGTAGCTATTGAAAGTTAAAAGAAATAAATGAAGTAAAAAAAGAATTATTCAGTAATAAATGGTCGTTGTTCTAAAAAGGTAATATAAGTTTGCTGGCTCCTTCAACTCTTTTTAATTTATAATTTTTTTAATTTTTAGGGCACAAGATTTTTTTTTGTGTCTATAATAAGTTTATTATTATAATATTTTGGAGGGAATAATAAAGAGAGACTCAATCATAAGTTCTCTTAGTTGACTCTTATAATACTCACACGAAAGGAAGTAAAGTCGTATTCTATACTGGGACATTTTTTTTATACAACTTAGAATGACAAACAAGCTGACGGCCCACCTGATGGAAAGAGGGAGACCACTTTCCATCAGGTGCGCCGTCAGCTTGTTTGCCATTCTAAGTTGTATAAAAAAAAAGTGGTAACCGTCGCCTATAGACATGAGCAGTACCATGGACATAACAGAGTATACTGTTTCGCTCATGATACCGTCGCCATGCGTTGCCATTCCTGAGGACTTAGGTGTTATTCCTCTGTACATAGTAAATTCACACCATATCCCATCCTTCAAACCGAAACACAGCCATGCAAACACAACTGCTTCACGGTTGAAACACGAATGGGAAAGAGGTATCCAAGCAATCGACTTTTGTACAAAGTCTCCCTCTGGACATACTCGGCGATACATATATATGATACATAATTTTGTACACAGATATGTTATACCCTATCTTGGCACAAAGCATTACTGTACTTACTGACTCACACGGAATATAGTTAAACTAACAGCGTAGAAAGCTGTTTTGTTTACTAAAATTTATATCATCATATTGGACTAACATTATCGAACCGTCAGTTTGTTGTTGGAGGCCATACAAGTGCTATGCAACGATAACATTGGCTCATTGGAAATTTGTTTAGTAGCGCCCAGAGAGCATATGACCGAACGCTGGCGTCCGGCAAGTGAACAGGCTACTTACTAGAAACATCAGCGTCACTTGTAATATATTATAATTCGTAGAAATCCACTTGTTAGAATGTGCCGACAATATAATGATGTTATGTTCAACCACAAATTCATTGATATATTCGACATGAAGCTGTCATCATCCAGAGGGTACGTAAACCGTTTGGCATGAACTTGTAGTTTTACTAGTATGTGATGTAGTAGTGATGTAGTTCATGTTTATGGTGGCTGGGCTGTTTTTCTTGTTTTGTTTTTTTTTTATACAACTTAGATTGGCAAACAAGCTGACGGTCCACCTGATGGAAAGTGGTAACCGTCGCCTATAGACATGAGCGGTACCATGGACATAGTAGAGTATACTGTTTCGCCCATTATACCCCCCATGCGTGGTGACAGTTTTATGGTATAAATTTCATTTAATGTATCTTATATATAATGTTTACTAATTTATTATGTTTTCCACGTGTCGAAATTGAAATGTTATGTCTAAATGTTAATCATGTTGTGTACACATGTTTTTAAACTGTAACCTAGTATATAAACCATAATTACCTCTATATATATATATATATATATATATATATATATATATATATATATATGCTTTATTGCACTAAAACATACAGTAACAACAATAATACAAAAACAATAAGTTAATAAAAATGTTAGCTATATTTATTATTAGTTAGTTATATATAAACCTAACATGGTTATAATTTGTTATGTGTGCCTCATTGAAATAAAATAAAATAAATGACAATAAAATATTTAGAAAGTGTCCAGTAATAACCTTTTATTATAGAAATAGAATACAAAATTTATTATATGACAAAAACACAAAGCTACAAACACAAGATACAATGGGCATGGGCCTACACACTAGGCGAACATGTATCGTGGAGGGGGGAAAGGGATTGTTAGTAATGAAGACTGAGCATCCCATTGCTAGCAATATACCCAACCAGGTTGACCTTCTCGCGGTCCTCCCTGGAAACTATCATGGTTAATTCCTGATGAATTCATCATGATGGGCTAACTGGCCTGTTTTCATTCTCATCTATCACCCTTCACTGGTGCTCCGCCAGCGTATCCCGTTAGCGTAGGCGGGGTTACCATACCATTTTCACCCATAAAAAAAAATACCTGTATCATGGGCACCCGACAAAGATTAACAATTTACAATCTGTTATATTAAAAAGTACATAGTGGGCGGGTATTCATATAAAATGAAGGAATATAAAATTACCATAACGATCATTTGCTGATCAGGCAATCACGTAAAATTATAACGTTAGTGAAATAAATAAATATAAATAAACAATCAATCATAAAACAATAATAAAATATGCCCCTAAGAGAAGCGAAGTTGTGTAAATAAATGTGGGTATGTTCGTGAGTATGTGTGAATGTGTATTGTGCAATCTATGTGAAAGATGTGTACTGTATGTTGTTATTTTCCAGACCATAGTTTTTCAGTTGCCTCGCAACATAATGATAAAAGGTAATTATTTAATTTGTGTTATGAAACATGAAACATATGTGAATTATGACTTATAAGTGGACACAGTTATGTTTCATATAACGTGATTGCTAAGGCAGCGAATTGGGAACTGTTAAGCTTCTTTATTTGGTAAATATAATAAATAAATTAATTATTTGATGAATGAATGAATGAGTATACTTACTTTATTTGCATTATACAATATGGGGAATAAGCAAGGCAAATAACAAATACAACGATACAATTGTATAAGCACAGTAAGGCGGTCTTATTGCTGAGAGCAATCTTTTCAAGACAACCTTAAGGTA